TTGCTGGCAGGTGGTGCAGCAGAGCTGGGGAGAAGAGAGGAAGGCTGGAGGATTGCGTTCCTGTTCCCCACACGCACCACAGGCCGGGGCACAGTCTCCAGGCACTTCCGATGCTAATTCAACTGCAGTTTAGATATCTGAACTGCCTTCGTCTGCCTTTGGAGCCAGCCCTTTCTGGAATGGCTGCTTAGTTAAGTACTGAAGTTACGTGTCTCTAGGCAGTGGTCTCCTGTGAAAGTGTAGCTTGTTCTTCAAAGATTTCTAAATGCACTCAGAAAAGAAAGCTTCATTTTCTGCTTAGAGAACAAGCTCATAGTGGGTTGGGTATAGGTTTGTGTTTGTTTACACAGCTTTTCTATATAATGGGGAGATGGAGGGAGGAGGAAAGAGACTCCACGGAAGGCGTACCCAGAGAGGGGAGTGTTTCCCCCTGCCCCCAACAGGAGAATGCTGATTCAAGCTGGCCAGACTTCACTAGATGCGGTCTTCTGCTGACTGCTCATCTAAGCAAGAAAAGGTTATTTTCCTTCAGCCTCAGAAGGAAGGTATGCTCAGAGGTAATTATTTATTTTGTTTTTTAAAAAAACAAATGGAAGTAGATTGAGCTACCACTAAGAGATTGGGTTTCTGTACGTCCCCTCCTGATTGCAAGTTCTTTTATGAAGTTACCTGTGGAAAAAATATGACAAGTCACTTCTAGAAACAGCAAAATCATGTTTGGGACACAATTTACAAATTACTCTATTTAAAACTTTAATTTGTGATATTAATGACTGCAAAACACTTAGAATGACATTTGTTAAAGGCACATTTCATTTTAATGCATAGTGTACCATTCTAAAATATCCTAATTTCCTTACAAAGTGCTTGAGCAGCCACATACAGATAAAGTATAGCAAAATATATTTACAATCTAGGGCTTAAAATCTTAATCTGCCTAAAAATATTTTAAAAACTACTGAGATAAAATTAGTGCTTTCTTTCAGCTTAACTGCGTGAACATACCCTGCCCTCTAATTTTTTTCATTTTTTTTTCAGTGATTTACTTAGATTAAAAAAAGATTTCTGTACAAGATGTAGTTACAAAAAGGTATTTTTTGAGGATACTTTCATAAGTGTTAAGCACCTTGTTAAGATGCTCATATATATATTTGGGAACCAAAAACGGTGAGCTGACTGTACCTCAAAAGTATTGGTTTCAGCTAGATACAGGAACACACTTTGTTTCTTATTAATTAGAATCTGGAAAGAAGTAATGCTGAAAAGTTGACTCACTGCCAAACAGGATTTGTAGGGCTGGTAAAGACCCACCCTTTTTCCTGGGGTAGGAGGGGAGATGCCTGATTTAGCCCTATTAAGCTTTTTTATTTTATTTTTTTCCCTCCTCCCTAAGCTGCTCCCCTGCCTGTCCCTGCAGGTCTGTCCAGCATCATGATTTTTAACAACCACCTTAGTGTTGCACACCCAGGTGGTTTGCATTTCTTAAAATGAATAGAATTGCACGGTTTGAATTTCCTGGAGTGCTGATTCTCACTGTCTTAACCCCTGAACAGCAAAGTCCTGGCCAGGATGAACCCATGAGGTTACACACGCCATCAACTCCAAGTGCTCCTAAGGCTAAGGACCATGCGGAAAATTTATTTTCCGAGAATTAATGTTTGCTCACAGAACACCAGATGCCAAAAAGAGGTCTTGGTTTACAAGTATGCACAGTGTCTGGTCTAAGTTATTTTTCAACTTTTGAGGTACAGCTTTTAGTGTTAAGGGGTTTATAAAATATACACTGTTTTGTATCAAAAATATTTATACATTCTGTTACAACATATTGCTTTTACCCTCAGTAACTTCCAATCCAAATTGTGGAGCTCAGTGGCCTGCATGTATACAAGTATTTTTTTCACTTGGATTCTATGTTGTTCACTTGGCCACTGTGCAAAACTAATGAAGTGGTATAATTAAATTACTTGCCTGGATATAAGAATACATTACAACTTCCAAATATACATGTTCACAGCATGTATACATTGAAAATCCTTATGTTTTCTGAAAGTGATATGATATTGTACAGCAGATACAGGATGACCTAGGTGGTTAGATACAGGCTGGTTAACTTAATCTGTCCACTCGAGGAGTGGGGAAAGGCATGAGTTTGAGTACAGAAGTGGCTTGGGGAATGCACCTGCTTTGCTCTTTGTTGTTAGACTGAGCAATGTCCTTGTTACATTCTTCGGATCAACCAGGACTTTAAGCCGCGCTTAAAAAGCCTGAAGGCAAAACTGATTTGGCAAGTGGCTTTGGTAAACTTTCCGGATTTTTCTTTGTAATGGAAGCACTTACGCTGTTGTTATCACAAAGGCAAGGCGTTTAACATTTTTCCTAATAAATACCGTAGAAAATTTACAAAACAAGGCATACCTGTGCTCAATACCATTATTTTAAGAACACAAGATGAAGGTGTACATAGAAACGTGTAGTTTTACAGAGTGACAGGATAGTTTGTAACTGAAATGAGTTGCCTTCTCCAGCTAGAACCATGTTCTGGGTGAGTGTCATCAGTATCCCAAACTTCTATTTCAGTGTGGCTGAGGAGAGAGAACTGATTACCTAGCTCCAAGTCTGCTTTTCTCACTTAAGGCAGATACTTTATAAAGCCGTGGTATCTGCTGTAGAAGAGTGAGAGAAACAGTACAAATCCACGTGTGCCCATGTGTGGGAAGCTTAATACAGCCTGAGTTCACCAGCTCAGCGCATAGACCTGCTTTCCAGTGCTCAGATAAAAAACAATATACAAAGAGGCCACTCTTCACAAGAGCGATAAAACAGTACTTAAAAGGATCTTCATGTGATTTAAAAAACCAGAAGCTACGGGTGGCACAGAGAGCAATTGAGGGGTCGGTATTCTGAGAGAGGCGTTCTTGTGAGCCAGTCAGCTGGGGGTTCACAGTGTCTGGAAGTTAACACCAATCAGCAATGTAATCAAAATCTCTGAACATTTCCTGCTCTTCTTCTGAAAGTAGCCTTGGTTCCCGAGGTGGAGTGAGGATAGGTGCTTCAGAGGTAAATTCGTCATCAAAATTGCTAACATCTTCTCGTCCTCTAATGGTGGGTACAAAAGGAGGCTTCACTTTCTTGGCCAGTAAAGCGTTCCAATCTATTAGCTGTAAAACAAACCGACTGAGGTTTAGCTTCCTGTCTACTGCTCCTTCTTGTCCTAAGATATAATGTGAGTAGTTTGTACTCACCCTGAAGAAGTGATGCTTTTTCACATCCTCGGCGTCTTTCTCTCCAGCTCCAAGACGCCGCTCTGGATTTCTTCGCAACAGCTGACAACACACGCAAGATTTCAGTGCAAAAATTCAGGAGTAGGGGGAGGAACTAGGGAGGATGTGTGCTACTGTGCAAGAGCCAGCGGCCAGTGAAATGCATACTGCCTGACCTACAGAAAATTCTTGGTCCTCATAAAGGGAAAGACAAAACTTCAGATGTACAGAGCTAGCAACAGCCATGCTCTCCTAGAGCTGCCTGAACCTGTTAGCACAGTTGCACCAGCAGCTGTCTCTGAACAGAGAGAGTAGACTAATCTGCCTCGCCGCAGATCTGTGGTACCAAGTCTTGGTGCCTGAGGTGAGTTGTGGGGCTGCCATTCAGCACAGCAGCACAGGGAAGCGTGGTTTTTTCCTGGAGAGGATACGGAATTTATGCAAGTTAGTACTTCTTGCTTGCCTCAGAAGAGAGACTACTTTCCTGCCTCCTGTGCCCGGACCTTGATTTACCAAGAGAAGGCTGAATGCTGCTGCACATAGCCAGGCAAGTTAAAGGGTTTTTCTGGTTGCTGGATGCTCGTGCTTGTGAGCTGTGGTGCTGTGAGCAGAGCCCTGCTCCAGGCAGAGTGCCCAGCAGTGGAGGGGAGGGATGTCGATGTATTCATGATGCAGCTATAAAAAAAATGTTTACTATATTATGTAAGAACTTTGTAGTTGGAAACAGGGCACACAGGGCTACTACTAAGTGGCAAGCGCACAGTACACACAATCTGCATGCAGTGTAGCAGTCCACTGTGGGTATTGGCATGCTAATTTTCACAGTAAAAATAGCCTCTCTGGGCAGTGCCTTCTCTAGACACACACTGTCTCCCTTCTCTAGACACACACTGTCTCCCTTCTCTAGACACACACTGTCTCCCTTCTCTAGACACACACTGTCTCCCTGGGCGTAAGCAATCACCTTAAGCTACAGAGCATTTAGGCTATTCTTTCAGTACTTATGTCACAGTAGTTAGGGTGACACGCTGTAACTTAGGTGCTGCAGCACATTGCTAACCTAGGTGCTAGGCTGTCAGTGTCACACATTTAAACAGAGAGGCTGCTTCCAAAGGCTTTGTGTCACCTTCGGTGGATGCCTTTATCACCTGTGCTAAGCTTCTAACTTGGCTTCAAGCATCTTCTTCAGGTAAGTAGAGGCATTACACTAAGGAACAGCACTAATAACAGTCATGAACAGAACTGGCTGTTCTTTACCAAGAATGGGACTGTGGATGCCATGTGTATGGTGTTCCCTGCCCCAGTTGGAATGAAACCAAAAATATTTAGAAGCCTTTGAATTAAAATATTCATGTGACAATGTTAATCTGCCAAACAGGTCAACGCAGCAATGTTCTGCTAGGAAAAGAGCTGAACCTCTCTAATTAGATACAACTAGGAAACTTAGGGAGAAAATAATGCTGCTAGTGTTTTCCACTTAAACTTGCTCCTGAATAAAGTGGACTGGCACTGACAATTTTTGTTTAAGGTGATGGGTAGGCAGCATGGAACAGCGTAAGTGAAGCAAGTTTGAAACTTAATTGTAGAAAAATAAAATACCAGGCATATGTTCCTAAAGTATTTTGTTCCTCACAAAAATAATTAATTTCCTTAATGTTGGAGAGGAAACAGGAGAAGCAGGGAATATTGTAATATTATTATTAGTAGTAATTAATTTTATTATGTTCTTACCCGTCTCATTATAGAGATGGCTTCTGTAGACAGAAATCGTGGATATCTTACTTCATCATTTACAATACTGTCAAACACCTCTTCTTCATCATCTCCAGGAAAGGGAGACTACAATGAAAGTAATAAAAAAAAAAAAGTACTATTAAACAGGCTTAAAAATCACTTGCAGTTGAAAACAACGTATCTTCAGCTGACAGTTTGAAATTAGACATCCTGAAATGAACTCCTCCTTTTACCAGACACAGAGAGGGGAGTTTTCCATAAGGAAGAACGAAAAGTAAGGCAAGTGATATTATCCCTTCATTCTTACTGAAGGACTATGCTTTAAAATATGTTTTTACAAGTAGAAGCTCCTAAAACTGGGATTTTCTTTGAAGTCTGACACAAGATATACAGGTAAGGTGGAACGTCTGTATCAGCTCTTCTTTGGGGCAGCCGCCATTGACGAATAACATGGTCAAGACTAATTTGTTTTTGTAGTGTCTCTAGCATGTTACAGCTCAAGGGTTTGGCCTGACAGATGTAGGCAACGCCCTACAAGTTTTCTGTCCTTTTTCACCTGAAGGGAAAAAAAGTTGAATGATTGTATATTTTTGAAAAAAAACCCCAACCAAATGATGAGCAAATCTATTGTTCTTCTCTGTTTTTGAGCTTGTAGGCCACCACTGTGCTACTTGGGACATACTATAACAAAATGGCCCTGAAGGTAAAGCACTATATGCAGTGGTAAATGTTCAACAGGAATTTATTTACACCAGCTCAATTTACAGGAACTGGGGGCATTCTATTTTAGTGCATGCGTAATTCAAATGGTAAACAGCCTTGCATCTGGCATAACCTTTCACAGCTCCCCAGTCCTGTGCATTAAAGTTCACATCCATTCAAGCTTCTGGAGTTAAGGTGTTTCACTCTCTCCCCCAAAGCATTTGAAAGCAGAAGACTGCTACAACTGTACGCATCCCAATTTGACAATAGCAGATGTGTGCTGGAAATTGAGCTTCCCAAAACAAGATGTGCTATGTTCTTGCTTAGACACACCAACATTTAATGTGCCTTTACTGTAATCTGATTTAAGGCATAATCGTATAATTAAATAGAAAACAAAAATCTAGGTGTGAAGTCTTAGACCAGCTACAACTCATTCACTCCCACAGTTGGGGATAATTCAAGCTCATGACACGACTCTTCAAATTCTGCAGTATTACAGCAGCTAGTATGAGGCAAGTAGCTGTTCGGCATGTAATACTTCTTGATGAAACGCTTTGAGATGCTCACTGTAAAACCAGGTATGTGTATACATACTGCATATGCAAACACTGATACAACTGTGGCAAGGCTTATCACATGTTGACAGGCTGGTATCTTGAGTTTTGTAACCTCCATTGTATCTTACTAGAACTTACCTCACCCACTAGCATCTCGTAGATAAGTACACCAAGACCCCACCAGTCTACAGCTCGTGTATAGGAAGTTTCTGTCAGCACCTCTGGAGCAAGAAATTCCGGTGTGCCACAGAATGTGCTTGTTCTGTCTCCAAATCCCATTCCTGAAAAGTTACAGTCAATGAATAGCGAGGAGTATTTCTCCCACTCTATAACCTATCCCGCCAGCAAGTAAAACCTCTCTCTAGAGCGGCTTCGGCTGACACTGTAGTTCCGGGGCATGTCCTGAAGGCTCAGGCCAATGAGGCAAAACATATGCCCGTTCTTCCCTCCCACGACCTCGTTCCATGTAATCTTAGGTACAAGTTCTTACTGTCCCTTAACTACATGCAATGAGCCAAATTAAGCTTCCAGTTACACCTTTATCACTCACTTATCTCTGCTTGGAAAAATACAATCAACGTTATGCTACATTTCTACTAGCTAGTACAAGAAAGTGTGGCACATGAAGTTAGTCAAACAGGCCTGCTACAAATGCTTCTGTAGTGCCAAAACTACATATAGTAAAGTAACACATGGAGCATAGTGAAACAACTTGGAGCAAAATGAGCCCTGAATCTTTGCAGGAGGGGCGCAGTTTGGGACAGCAGCACCACAAGGACTGTGACGCTACAAGCTTAAGGAAAACCAGTGATTGTAGCAGTCAGTAAACCAAAGAGCTTTCTTTGTCCTCGTCTCCTTATGTTGTTTATGGAACTTGTTTGTAGCTAAATTCACAGGACTTGCCCAAGGATTTTACGGACAACAGTAACATTTGAGCACCTGCTGAATTTAATAAATTCCTCTTAGGGCGTGTAAAAAGAAAAGATACAGATTGGAGAAGGAAATGGACCTTTCCAGTTCTTGCCCCCAATGGAGTTTGAGAAAGACACTGCACTTTCTGGTGCTACCTCTCTTTTATGTCTTATTTGAAAGCTACTTGCCAGCAGTGGGATGCTTGAAAGTAACTTTCTAGCACCTAGGGTTCCCTTTTGGGATAAATTTATCTTTTAGCTATAGTATACTTTACATGGCATTTCCATATAGGTAAAGTTGTGACTATGTCAGAGTGAAAAACATAGATATAAATTTATAAAAAAAATAAGAATGAGGTATAGATTATAATGGTACTTGATTTCATTGTACAATGTTAACATGTTTAGAATGAGGAAGAATACCTAATGCTTTTTCTGCTAACTTGTAAAATGCAGCAGTATGACTTATTAATAAGCAGAGATATGATGAAGTAAAAACCAGACTAGATGACACTCACAGCTGGAAAAAAAATAAAATATAGGGCTGTGCTCAGATGTTCCTGTCATATCCTTCCTAAGGAACTTAGAAACTCCTATCTCCACAGTTGTACAATCAGAGATGTAATTTTTCCTTCAAGTGATACCAGGTAAGCACACACTGTACACATTTCACAGTCCAAAAGCCTCAAGGAACAGCCAAGAGTAAGACAGACTATGAAATTCCCCTGGAAAGAAAATTGAAGGGCCATTACCTTCTTTGCAAAGACCAAAGTCAGCTATTTTCACAAAGCCTTCCGTGTCCAGCAATAAGTTATCCAACTTCAAATCTCTAAATGAACATTTGAGAATAAAATTGAATCACTGATATTTCTTCAGTACTATTCAGAATAGCTGAAGTTCACTTGTTGGAAATGGGTCAGTGACCACTTACCTATAAACTATTTTGTGTTCATGCAAATACTGAAGTCCAAGAACCACACATGCAGCATAGAATCTGTTGAAAAAGTTAAAATTTCAATGGATTTTAGTCTTGCTTTTCAGAATGTGAAGTCTATTATTATTGATCTTTTTTATTAGCCATCCTCTGAAGATTACCAAGTTTTTTCTGAAGATTACCTTTTTTTTTTTCCGGTACAGATTAGTTTTTATACATGGTCAGAGTTTTAAAGCCAGATGGCAAAAATACTTAAGCTTCGAGCTTTCAAGCTGAAGTACGGTCGCCCAGCCTGAAGAATGAATTTTCTGCAGTGTCTCCTGCCACGGATTTCTCATTTGGCTTATTCTTTTCTTTTTCAGCCTTATCTGCTATTTTAACTTTTCACTTAACTTTTTCTGTAATTTTTTTAAAAAGTATTATAAGCATTAAGTGTTTGTATATAACTTTAAAATTCAGTGTAGATTCAGACACGGTAAACCTGCATATGTCTGCTTCTAAACAAAATCACTTAGAATCTCTGACCCTTTCAAAAATGAAAATGGTTATTTACTGAAGTGACAGGATGTGAAGGGTGCAGAGCGTGGTAAAGATCTTAGTGCTTATCCACTGCATGAAATGTCCTCTGCTTAATGCCACAGAAGGGATGGGTACTCACACTGCTCTTGGTTCAGAGAAGACATCAGTATGAATGTGCATCATCAGATCTCCACCAGCAGCGTATTCCATTACAAAGCAAACGTGATCTTTGGTTTGGAAACAAGCAAAAAGATTCACCAAGAAGGGGTGTCTCACACTATTCACAGTTTCAAATATTCGCTTTTCGCACATCAAGCTGCAAACAGAAAAATAAATTAAAAGTTAAAGCTGAATTCTGAGCCATGATTTTTCAACTCAGAAACTATTAGCAATTTATACCTTACAGTTTTTTGCTCTATTCCTCAGGATAAGAAATTTTTTTGTTTCAAGAGGGAGATTTTAGTACTTGCACACACATTAAGCTGATGTCAGGATTTCCATGAAGTTGCATTTAGATTCCACAAAGCAAAAGGGAAACCTAGTAGCATGCCATGGATACTGCACCCTGCCAATTTTCCTTCTAAATACTCAGAGCTGCATTAAGTCTGCATCGATACTACGCCATTAACTTCAAACCATTTTTATTTAATTGTATATGATATCTAAAGATGAAAAATAGCAACAATCTTACAGACAGCTATCTATAGCAATTCCAGATTGTTTCTCATTAAACCAATTGGTTAATTCATAGCTTATTCTTAATACAGTTATCTTTTTGCAAGTCAAATGAATGTAGTCACAAATAGTTGTAAAATTACCTTCTTGCACCAAAATTAAACAGTTTTGTAACTGCCACTTTACATCCAAGCAAAGAAAAACCTGAGTTTTGGAGCAAAAGGATTAAAAAAACCAGAAACAGTGAAGAATACACAGGACTTCAGGGAAAATACAATGAACAAAGTGTGATGGTATGTTAGAGACTGAGAAACACCATGTTTTTTGTCAGTAAAGAAAAGTCACTGTCCTCCTGAAATGTGATCGAAGCCTACAGAACAAGTAATCAGAATAAATAATTGCAAAAGAAATTAAAAATGGAATCTGCTTAAATCAGAGCTCTAATATAGGCATGGTAAGAGCAGCACTAAAATAAATTTGTGTTCCTGGGCTCCGCTGCTGTCTCCTTGCACGGCTGCAGCAGCCACAGAGCCGGGAGGTGACAGCCTGTCTTGATCTTTCACTGAATTTCACTACTGTTTGGTAGAGATTGCAGCTGTGTTGCGGACAGAGAGAAAAACAGAGTTTACGGAGTCATTATGTAACATTTTACAAACTGACCTGTCTACTTCATCACGAGCAACAATATCTCCTTTCTTTAAGGCTTTAATGGCAAACATCTCATTTGTATTTTTGTACTCTGCCAGCAGCACCTAAACCAGAAGATAAATGATTCATTTAAGAGTGATATCTAGTTTTTGATATAAACTTGACATTTGATATAACCTTTTGACATTTACCTTTCCAAAATGTCCTCTGCCCAGTACAGCGCAACATCTGAAATCCTTCAGACTGAATTGAAATCGTTGTTGCAATCTATGTAAATAAAAAAACAGTAACAAAATCTCATTTGTTAGCTTTAAGAATTATTATTCAAAACAACAGCAAACATGCTGCATTTTTACCTTCTATCTTCAGGCTCTCGGGTGTTCGTGTATTTTATGTCTGAACGGGGAACATCAGGCTCACAGATTATTTCAGGCTGGTTTGGGACAATACTATTTCTGCCATTTTCAAAATCAAAAGTTGTTACTTCATCCTGTGAAGAAAAGGAAGCCTGAAAATTCATAACCGATTGCAAAGGCAAACAAAAACAAATGTCACTAAATACATCTGAAATTCTAACACGAGAATTATCTAAGTAAGTTAAAATGGTATGCTTTAAGATGACAGAGATAAGCAAGCTTTTAACAGACTGATGAAATCTATTGCTTTTTGCTAATAAAACCATTTTTCCCAAAATGCTCTAATGAGTTTGAGCTTTTGTTTTTTCTGTGGTGGAACCAATGACACAAAGAGTTAAACACACCAACCATGGAAACGCTATGCCACAAAGAATAGTCAGAGAATTCTGTTGAGACAAGTCTGTATGTGGAAGTTAATGGAGCACATGCTGAAATACAAGGGAAGAAATCCACCACAAAGGTACCAATATTGCAACCTTGTTAAACTGTATAGCCCCAAATTCTTAAAGTTACTTGCCTGAGATGGCACATCAGAAGCCTTTATCTCAGAGGAAGATTCAGATATTTCCCCAAGGGAAGATGCACGAGGCGGAGCAGGTGGAGGCTCTGGCTCAAGCTCAAAGTCCAATTTGGCTACAGGAGACTCACTGGCAAGAAAATAAACACCTCTTTAGCGTATAGCAGGGACGGTTTTCATAGCACGAAAACAAATCTAAAACTGCACACTATGTAGATTTCTCCTAAAACAAATGTTGTGTTTGTGGATCTGTCTACACACTGGATGTCTGAAATTAAGACACTGAAGGTTCTGCAGTCTTGCAGAATAAACAGGTTTGACATACATTACATGCTTTAAGGTATAAGCATCTCACTGTTACTCCTGCTCTTAGAAGTACTTAAAAATTGCAGCTATCACCTACCTGGCTGGCAGCGTTAGTTCAGGAATGTGCGCATCAACCACTGGCCCGGTAGCCGGCACTGGTGCTTGAGGGCTGAAGGTGCCAGAGTGATTTACTGTAGGAATAGCTCTTCTTACCAGCCTTCCCCAAGTGGCAATATTAATATTCATCTGAGGAGCTCTGAGAAATGTTTTGCCTGTGGATATTACGAAGAAAGAAAATAGAGTGCAAGCAATTTCCTTACTTATTACCAAAAGGTATCATTAAAAAAAAAAATCATATTTATCACTTTATAAAGAACAAACTGAATTGGTCATATTTTCCTTTGCTACTCCTAATTATTCACTGTTAAACACTAATGTATAATAAGGAATTCTAAACTAAAATATTTTTAAATACAATGCCAATTTATTCATTATCAACAGCTTTACTCACAGACAAATACTGGGTCTCTATTAAAAAGAAACAACTTATCACAGATCTATACAACTTTTAAGCTTTACAAGTTTATGTTCAACAATCACCTTGCTGTTTTGAAAAAATTTTCTTCTGCCTCTGGAGTTTTGGTCTTCTTTCAATAACTGGATTAAAAAACGTAACCTGCAGTTCAAATAACGTGTGTTATAATTCAAGTTTCAGAAAAAAATGCATTCTTAAAAATATTTAAAAAAAATTCTTAAAACTATTCTGCAATGTAATACTTGCAAGTACGCTCAAGTGCTTCAAAGAGACATTCTTACCTCTGCAAACAGAGTGCCCTGGGGTTCAAGATAGAGACACATGCCATGCCGTTGGTTATCGAGGAAATCTTCCAACCTCAGAAACTTCACTGCACACAAAGATCTCCAGTCGCGCCAATAAACTGAGATTTCTAATTCACGTGACTATGACAGGAAACACATATACAGGAAGTTACTTATTAGTAATTGTTCTGCAAGAGTTACCCCTCTACTACAATACGATCTAGCAACTCAAGAATCAAGACACAGAGCTGTTACTTTAAGTGCCACGCTTAACCAGACGTACTGAGCAAGCTCTCACTAGGACAGGTCTTAGGGTTTCACTTCAGATGTGATCACCAGTGTCCCAATAAAAGTATAAATGTAAAGTTCCCCTAAGAGTTGAAGGAAAGAGTCACAAACAGTCACCAGACTTTTTGAGTCAGTCTAAAACCAGCACTGGTTCAAGATATTTTAACTCAAGCTCTGACAATACATTTTACCTGTGTTTAGAAACCTCAACTTTACTAGTTTTCCATGTTATTTGCAGGTTTTGGCTGCATTTCAGAGCTGCACAGTTACACAGTATCTCTAGGAATATAAACCGTTTTTGTAACATGATCACAAAGAAGGGACAAACCCCTTAAACTAGCAAGAACTACTGCTATTTCTTGCCAGTTGGGCTCATATGTTCTTAAGGTGTCTTACATGCTTATTACAAAACGTGAAGAATCCTGCAAGACAATCAAAGCAGCACTGTGTGTTACTGAGTTCAGTCAGCACAGTTCAATTCCATCATGATACATCCATGTGCTGTCTTTAAATGACAGCTATAGGTTTTAAAAGAAACAAACATTAAGAAGAAGCAACAGATTAAAAATGATGGGGTTTGACTGTGCATTTCAAGTACAGAAGCATGTGTGGTCATGCCCAGCAGAAGGCAGGTCATCTTCTGCCACTTAAGAGCATCTAATACTGAGTTCTCCCAGTGAACATGACACACTGGCTGGTAGTAGCAGCTACTTTGACTAGTTCTGGTCTTAATATGAGAATAATCAAGGATTCCGCAGCTGCTGGTTTTGTTCTGCACTAACTGGAAACTGAATTTCTCTACCTGCAGGTCTAAACCCTCATCCTTCCCAGATGGAAGGAAACCGGGTTGGGGCTCAGAGGGGTGGGGCTCGACAGAGAGAAAACAAAACAGGAAGGTGGCTTTTTTTTTTTCTTGTTGGTTTTAAATATACACTGAAGATGACATTTAAGATACTAAAACGCAGTTTAATTTTCAGTCTATTTTATTTAAATGCTGAGGGAAAAAACAACACTTGTACCTTAAAATATCATGACTATCAGGTATCTAAATACCAAATGCTTGATTAAACTTACATAAATTTTCTTCAAAAAGTGTAAAGAAAGAAATATCAAGCATAATTTTGACACTTGTGTCCTCCAAGTAACATTTAGAGTTCTAAGAAAGAACCATTGTTGATTTTATTTATTATTCCTGAAGAACTGATCAGCTTCCCATAAGAGCACTTTTACAGAAGCACTGTAGAAATTCTAGGACATAGCTTTACTAAAATACCCGAACTTTATCTGATATTAGAATTTACTGACAAATAATAACAAGTTGGTGATCCTAATAAAAATCTAAGCACCATCTATCACAGGATAAAAAGATGCTAATTGTTAGATCTTGGGGAAAAAAAGTATTATCAGAGTTTGTAGGCCAGAAAAAGTAAAATGTCTAGAATACCAGCCCAGCGTAACAGATTAACCCCAGGGAGCTCATTCTGTTAAGGATGGGAATACTTGCACATTATGAATTTTGAACATAATCACAACAGGGAAAAAAAGTAATAAAGCAAAATTAAAATAATCTAAAGAATCAACTATAGCTGTCATTTTTACCCTGTCTAGTTCCAGTGTAAATTTCTGATCCCATGACTGATTGGAAATTGGCTTCCAGCTAGTCTGACCAACGACAGTGTTATCCAGCTTCAGTACAGCACAGACTTCATCTGTAAGCAAAGTACACAAACTCAGCTTAAATCTTTAAGAGGATTTTCCACAAACAAAAAATCTTCAGTAAGTTTCCCTTAAAAAATGTAATCTCATATTTAATTGGTTTTTACAGGCATAATAGCATGGTTGTGGGTTTTTTGGGTTTTTGTTTGTTTTTAAAACAACTTATCAGATGAAAAAAACAGTAAGTTTAAAGCTTCGAATCAATTTAGTATTTTAAGTTACAGAACATGGCATACACATTAGAGTGTCAATAATAGATATATGTAAAAATAAGAGAAGCAAGTATACTGAACTGGACAAGTCATCGGTTTTCAGAAGGTTTCTGCTACTCCCACTTTTACTTTTAGTGGTTCTGCTAATGAAAGATGATCTGGCTTCATTGGGACTCCAACCAGGTAGCGTAATCGATGTGGCTTTTGATCGACCAGGGACGTTTTCCAAAATATCTTGACAGCCCATTAGCCTAACTTCCAGGGTACCTAGAACAAGACAGACAATGATTTATCAAAGATTTCTGTTCTTAAGTAAACAAAGTGAATGATTAATGATCAATCTATGGCAATAGCTCACATTCTGACCCCCACAGGGTACAAGTCAAGTATGTGGGACTTAACCTCATCAAAACAGTTCGCGAAAATAACATTTTGTTCTATGTCTCAGCAGTATTTTTGTTTTCTTCACTTACGAACCTAACTGACTTGGTTTCAAGTTGTAAGCCATCATATTAGGATGAGAAATCTTAAGTTTTGTATTAAAATGATGGATCTTGCAGACAGGACTGTAACAATCTTTTTTTCTGAGTTTTATACAACCAGTTAATACTGGATACATCACTTTGGTAATTAAAATGAACACACTGACTATTGAAACTACAAATTTCTTCAAGATACATTTGCTTGCTGCATGCTGAAGTAAAATTTGAGTTAGTATGTAATTTAAAAATCACTGAGTTGTTCCAACTTGATTGAATTTGGATTTATAAAAGCTAAGACAAGAAGCTACAAAACACTTCCTTAAACAAATGAGACTGAGAGGCTGCTGTTTAAGAGCTTCCTCCAGCAGCACAGAAACCTCCGAATACCACAGAAGGTTACCAGAGCAGTAGGCTTTACCTCATCCCGTACCAGATAGCATCTGCGAAACTGTGACACCACTAACACTAAAAAATTTACTTACTGGAAGTGGTGAAATTAGATGGTTTATAATCACCCTGTCAGCTAGAAATGCAGCTCCTAAATGCAGTGTTCTTTTGACAGCAAACGACTGAAACATAGAAGGACTCTTTTGTAACAGAAACTTAAGTCACACTTGACCTACAAATGGTCTGGCAACGTTATAGCAATGGAACAGACACCACAGAAACCAGTCTGAGAAGAAACCTATAGGGAACTAACAACTGCAAGCAACAGCCGAGCATTAGGCTATGAAGACAAAGAGGTGCTATTGGTTCCTGAAACAAGTAAAAGGCTAAAAAAGAATACTTCATTCTCAAACTCTGTTCACAAAATAAAAAATAAAAAAATTAAAGAGCAGAAAGGCTACAATCTTGTATAAGGACTGGAAGTGTATCAGAAAGTTCTGTTGATGCACTTTATAAAGTATGACAGTAGCACTGATCTATTTTCACAAAGTGTGAGAGGCAAACACAAAAGCCGCTCTTCATTTAAATCCAGTTCAATACAAAAGCTCTTTGTGCAGCCAATATGAAAGTGAAAGTATTAAGAACTTCACAAGCATGTTTTGATAATCCCTGTTAGAAACTGTTCATATGCACCAGTAAATCACATTTAAAGAGGAACTGTTTGTCACTATCTGACCCAAGATTATGTATTACAGGAGAAGAATAATAAGAAAAAAAAAAGCTGTTTTAAAACCAAGGCACAGTAATTCCTGCCCACGGTCACCCATCCTTTGAGTTTCCATATGATTATGAAAGACAGCTCCCCTCACCACTGCACAATTTTACAAGGGCCCTCGGCTGAGGTCCTCATGCTTTTTACCCCTTCCTACGTGTCTTTCTGAACTGAAAATGGAAGGCAAGTAGACTTGCTCCATTTTATTACTACTGCAGCTCAGATGAGGAAACTCTTTTTTTTAAAAAAAAAGATAAACCCCCACAATTTTTCAAAACTAAATGCTATTTTCAGTTTATTTCTGCAATACACTTATTCTGTTAAAAGCTGGTTTAATAGCTACCTGTAAAACATTGTAGGAAACAAATTGTAAAACCAAACCTATCTTTACTAGTTATATGAACACTTATTTAATAAATTTAGATAAACAACATACCCCCAAGTAGTCAAAAGTATTTGCTTTTCTTTAAGAACACTGGGAAGCAAATGTTTAATAGCTTTGTTAAGTATGGCTTGTCTCTTGAAACAGTTACTTCCAATGAACGACAAAAACTCCAGGTGAAGAAGCTGCTTCTAGGAGAAGTTCCTAAGTCTTTCATTTATATATTAATACACAGTTCTCTCACAGAAGGCTGTCTCTTAAAAAAACCCAAACTATACCAAAAAAAACCCAACCTCAAACCACAAACCAATCTCCATGTTTAAGGGCAAGGAAAACAATTCACACCAATAAAGAGAGGCTTCAATAGTTCCATGCAGGTTTTGTTAGGATCTCCCCCTCTGGTTTAGAAACATGACGTGTGTTCTGGTGGCATAAATCTCACCTTCTAGGAAACCAGTTTGGTCCAGTGGGTAAGTCAGGGACTGGGAGAAAAGCTGGGTGCCTACCTCCAGCTCTGCTACTGGCTTGTTTTATGACCAGGGCAAGTCACTTACCCCTTCTGCACCTCAGTTTCCCCATCTGTAAAAAGGGGATAATGGTACTTACCCACCTTCTAAAGTGCTTGATAATCTAAAAATGAAAGGTGTTAGGTAAACGCTAGCAATGTTGTTCCATAATGATCTATGTTAAAGCCAGAACTTCACTTTTTCAACAGGACTATAAAATGGTCAACAAATAAATCAAAAGAAACTTATCTGCATTTTTTTGGTGCATAGACACTTGGAAATTCTAAATGCCTTTGTCTAGGAAAAGAACAACAATGAAATATGTGCTGAAAGAAATAAAGTTGGCATTAAAGACATGTTTTAAACCACAAAATAAAATAAAATAAAATAATACCTGTTAAAGCTGCTGGTTTGGACAGTGTACTATACTGGTTTTGAGTAGATATTACACTTTGACGAGGACTTAATGTGGGTGAAGAGACCAATGAAAGCTCCTCTATAATAATACTGCTTTTGGGATGGTTTTTAGGAAGTTCACTCAATCTCTGTTCCAGTGAATACTTCAAGAGGTCCAGCTTCTGGCTTGACTCATTAAATCTTGCTTGCGCCTTTTTAAAATATAAAAAAAATAAAATGAAATCTTTCCATTTTTTTTTTTTGAAAGAGCATTTAAAATAAAGTATCAGAAATTGCAACGATGTAAATTACTTCTGAAAGTGCCTTTCTGTCGGTAACTTTCCCAGATCCAAGTAATTTCATCACATTTTTTGCACCTTCTGCTACGGCGTACTCTATCCTAAAATGATGCCGTAATTCTTCCATTCGGAGTTCAAGAGGGCTTATCACAGGTTTTGCTGCAAAGAGATACAAACAAACAATCTTCACTGACAACCCCACCCATGTTCAGTTTCTTTAACATTCAACCCTTCCCACATACCAACAGAGGGGGGAAAAAAAAGAAAAGGGGAAAAAAAAAAAAGACATGCATATTTGGTGGTCCAAATAAAAGCTTTAAGTACGTCATAAAAGCAACAGTGAAATTTTAAGTATCTGCATTTGAAGGAAGAAATAATTGATCAGGGCCTCAATCCAACAAACAGGTGCTACTCCTTGAAGAGCTACTGCTACAGGATGTGAGAAAAAAAAGTCTTCGGGGAGTTAAGGCACAAAAGCCAAATCTCCTAAATGTCATTCAGCTGGCAAGAAGCAGGTTTTGAGACTTTCACATTTCTGAACCATGCTCTGAGGATTTATCTTTGTAGCTAAGTAGATTCCTCATCGGTTCCTGATAATTCTCCTGGTTCACATGAAATTCCAGGGAATCTGGCTTCTGCCAGCACAGGGAATGCAAGAGGTCCCAAACGCTGCCCTCCCCAAATGGTTTGAGTTAACCATTCCAATGTTCACTTCTTACAGCGTTTAGATTTCCTAATCAGAAAGTTTCCTGGATATACTCCTTCTGTTTAAAGCTCTAAGAGTAGTAGAAACACAAAAAGGCATTTCAAAATTCCTTCTAGCTTGAATGCCTTTCTTTTTCTTTCGTGCAAATGATATACATAATCCATGGGCTAAGATGAGGTGCTAAAAAAAGCTGTAAACCGTGTCGTAAGTGTAAAAAACAAAGAACCCCCCCACAACAAAACAAAACACACACGTTTTTTTCATTATCTAGGGTATATCCAGGTCCTGATGATGAGCATCGTCATACAACTTCAGTACTCAGAAATGTATATAAATAAATTTCAAGACTTAGAGATGTACCAATATGCCCACAATTTTGCAGTGTGCTCATGTCATTATAGCTCAGGGGTACTTAGGTATGTATTTAAAGATTTCCAAAGAAATGCAAGTTTAAACTACCTCTGAGATGCAACATGACAATTTCAAGTCGTTTTAAAACCAATGATTTTTTTATTTTTTAAATAGTTGTTTATTATTCAGTCTAGCCTAAATACCTATAGACAGCTAAAATTTGCCTCCATCTGTACTCCCATTAGTAACAATAAGGTCAATCTATTTAAGTATGACAAGCAGGCTTTGTACCTGCGTCACATTTTTATTTTTTAGGACGGTGAAAAAATTATATGCTTTAAAGAAAATTACTAATTATTGTTAACAAAAAAAGAAAGCATTCATGAAGGATGATGAAGAGAGAGTCTATTTCTCTTCATTAAGCTTAAGGTATTTTGCTTAGAGTCAGATGTATTTGGCATCCTAAAAAACACAATGGTATGCCTCATCTCCAATTATTTTTGGTCCATGAAGCTTTGTCTAACGTTCCTGCTAGAAATTTATGGTAACTGTGTGCATATGGGTACATATCTACACAAAATCCTGACATTAATAATTCTTATTTCCTTTCTACTCCATCACCATTATCAAAAGCCAATTCATTGGTCTGGACTGCCTGAAGAATCTGCATCCTTATAACTTCTATTTTTGTCTTGCTGTCCTGGAGCATCTGCTGAGCTGTGGCAAGAAGTTTTCGATCCTGTTAAAAAAACCAAACAAATAAGTTAAAACTGTCAACCTTTCATGGAACAAAACACATTGAAAGCTTCAAACCCCACACACTTTAAGAACAAGAACTGAATCTATGTAGTTCAGCCCAATTCAGCTAACCATATTAAGATACTAGTGGAAAGTAAATTAGCCCAGAGGCATATTCTGATTGATTAAAGACTATAAGCCACTGCCATGGAAATGGTATCTGTTTAAAGCTGAATAAAGAAGGCATAATCTAGCAACATTGTACATGTACGCTAACGTAAGGTGATACTAAAGGAAGGACAAGATAGTAAGTATGAAATACCTTCACCCTATGCAGAATGACTCAAATTTACTGTATGATGAGAATTCTAATAGACAAATCTGCTAGACTAAATCCATGTACACCATTGTACTAATTCACTTGAGCTGATTTTCTATCTCCAAATTAGAAATATGAAGTTAGCTTACATAGCACATTATAAATAAGTCTGCTGTACATTTTCTGAGCAAATCAAAACAAGATTTTTTGCATTAATAAATACATAATATATAAGACTTCATTAACTACTACATCAGCAACTTAAAGTATGGTACTTTTCATCTAAATAAACTATGCTTAGCCAATTTTTTTTTTTTTTCAAAAGCAGTAACACAACGAGCAGTTTAGAAGAGAACATTTCTGAAGAAGAACTTTCAAACCCATTGTTGACACCATTTCACTGTGACAAGTGCCATCCACACATTTCGCAGGTACATCAGTTTTTGACCTCCACCTACTGGAGATCTGACTTACAACGGATTATCAAATTGTTCTTGGATGCAGAACCATACATGGGTACAGCTCTACAGCTGCTGCACTGCTTGCTCTGTATATTCTGGAAATTAGCAGATTAATTTAGAGGTGATCTGACTTGCAGTGTAAGAAAATTTAAGGCAGTCTTTTTGTCCTGTCTGTGCAGTACCAATCAATCACAGTAATTAAGAGTATCAGTGCAGATGAGTATCACACTTGTTATAGCCCAAAGGGTATTTTGGTTAACTCGTTTTGTAGCCTCTCTATAACCTCATTAATAAGTTACTTTTCCTTGGACATGGTTTATACTTACGTTTTTAATTTTATAATGAAATTATCAATTATTTAAGAAGTTAAAGGAATTCAATTCTTCCCCTTAGCATAGCCAAGACAAAGAACAGCCATGTAGCATACATACCCAGAGCTAAAAATATTGCCACCACGAAGTACACTGTGAGAAAACTCAGTATGCTTAGAAGAGAGAAATTCACCTGTACAGAGCTACTCTATGACCTTGTGCCTAATGTATTACTCAGATATTTTAATGCTGTCCCATGTTCTACAACATAAAAAGGCTTTGACTGCATGGGGAGAAATTATGCCCCCTCTGCACACCATAGTCCCAGAACCCTTGATTTTAAGTTTTAGTATTAAACAATATTTTCAAGAGACAGTACTATTTTTAATATTTTAATATTCCATGTCAGATATCCAATTATTTAACGAGTACACTGAATTTCCTAAGTAAATGCAAATACAAACGTCAACTTTTGAAATAACCACTGTCTACAGCAGAGTCTGGGATCTAAGTAACAGATTACAAGCAACTCTAGAATCCTGTATTAAACCTTATCCATGCATCATTCTGATGTATAAATACACTGCTAGCGTTTCTTTGTATCTTCACTTTTATCTTATTTTTGATCTTGCTGCTCTTGATTGTCCTTCATATCCCCTTACTGCAACAGATCTAGTTGCTCAGGGGCAATACCAGCCCTTCGATGTGTAGACTTGAGGTACTTCAGGATTATAGAGATATCCTTCTGTTTTCAAGAGACAGAAAATCCCATCTTCAGAATCAAAATGGATGTGTTATACTCGGCAGCTCTTTTAGTGCTGGAGGCTGAATACAAAGTATTTCAAGGCATCTCCTGAGTACAGAAGAACTGACAGTGCCTGTAAAACTGATCTGCAAAGCTGTCGTGGAATCTCAGAGAATCCACACAAGTCCAAGGAAAGATGATCAATATCTCAGAAACACTTAAATCTGAACAGGCTGAGCTGAATGTTACTGAAGCAATAGAGTAAGTACACAGGGAAAACCTTCCCATGAGATGATGGGTTTATTAACAGACTGCTTTTTCATTTTTAAGAAACAGACTACAACCTCCCTCCACTAAATTTAAGTCTGAAAATAATAAAACAGCTCTGAAATTAGATCATACAGTACACTTGAATAAAGGTCACAAAAGAGTTTAAAATGTTTTAAAAAGGGCCCTGCAACCATAAAGAAGTACTACATTACCAGGGTTAGATTCAAACCGGGAATTTTAAACTCCTTTTGTCCACTTTATCCAGTCACTTAAGAGATGTTTTAAGCTTTGCTTTTTAAAATGTAACAACCACGCTCAAACCTACAGTTTAAACCTGCCAAATTAAGTCACTACTGAGTATTAAGAAATGCAAGAATGAATACGCACCATTTCCATCCTGTTTGCTGAAGCAGCTGGCAATACTTCTGTGTTTTCCAGCTTGCTCTCCCCAGCCCACTTACTTTATACACCCAATCTGGTAGGCTGATTTAAGCATTTACCAATTGCAAATACAAGATTCAATAACAAATTTTAATTACACGCCTCGATCACAAAGTAAGCCAGAATTTATCCTTTCCACCTAGTCTGATCAAAGCCTGCCTCCAATGTCTAATATTACAGCCCGAGTGTTTAGTTACATTTTTTTCAGGCTGTTACAAGGTTATTTGCTGAGGGTTTATTAGGAACATAATTCATGTATGCCTTTTGATCCATTTGGGTCAGCTGATTATTATTTTTAAGTGTACCTGATGTTAAGTACACAGCCCCAGAGGAGGATGCAGACTCCAGAGTTGCCAGGAGCCGAGGGACTGTGGTGCATGGACAGCATTCCCAGGCCCTTAGTCATAAGGTGCACTCCAGATATTTCTTCCATCTGTCCCAGGCTGGGAGGTTACAGGTCACTTTCAGATAAAGCTATCAAAGTACAGAAGGGCTGCTGGGACACAATGAGCTTGATGGCACCAACAGTCCCTCCAGTCTAAACTCGTTTTTCTGGGACTCAGCAGCATTTGCTGTTGTTTTTTCACAGTGAAGTCATACAGCAGGCAGATATAAAGTGATCTGCCTCTCCAGCAGTGCCAAGCAAAAATGCACTGAGCCACATGAAGTTCCTTTCCAACACTTTCTGGGTAGCAACAAGTATAAGCAGATGTCTACTCTTCAAATCAAACACCTGTTATTAAAAAGTTGACTAACTTAGCTAGATGTTGGCTCAGTCAGTTAGAAACTTAAAACATTTCAATATTGTTTACTATTGTCTGGACACAGAACCATCTAAGGAAGCTACTAAATAGTATTTGTTAGATCTATACTCGTGTTTCCCCTTAGTTTGGAAATTCATCTCCTTAATGATTTAGTGAAAGTAAATGGAAACAACAGGTAATGAGTAACTAATGAAGGGTGAAGGGGCAGGTAAGTAGAGGATTCCCCCCTCCCTTTTTTCTCATTTGAGAACTAGGACTACCTTATAAAAATGTGGGCGGGGTGTGGTTTGTTTTGTTAACTTTTGGTTGTTGGTTTTTATTTTCTTCATTTAAAAGGTTTGGTTCATCCTTCACTTGAGTTAAGGGATTATAAGTGTATGATGAATTTTATTACATAGCTAGGACTATGTAATAAGTCAAAACCACTTCGGGGTTAGCAAACACTTCCCCCTGCCTCTTTGGAGAACTTCTGGTGCTATCAAGAGAGAGCAAGCATGAGTGAGCACGTGTTTAAAATTCAGATCTAGAAATAAGTGTGGCTTTATTTTTAATTTCAGTTTGATGCTATCAGATGCTACCTCTAGAACATTTTTGTAAATTTTTTGGTAAAAATATAAATAAATGGATTTTCATGTGTATTTTTTGTGTACGTGTACTAATGCAGATTATAACAGCTCTATCAGAATACTATACATATCTTATTAAAACAAATATTTAGTACAAATCTTTTTATGGTCACCTACAACTAGATGACCATTTCAGAAGCACAACTGGCAATGCTGCCTTTTGTGTAATTATCACGCATGTTACAACTTTAAACTAATAGATTTTATTTTTTGGGGGAGAGCCAGGAAAAGCACCAGATACCAGTCAGTGTCATATCAAACTTTGCTGCTAAGTGATTTCCACATAATCAAAGATTACTAGATGTACTAAATTTAGTAAGCCGGATTTGCTATTTAGGTTGAACTGCATGTGAACAAATGGAATTGCATGTGGGTATCAAACCACAACAAAAAACCAGTATAGTAATTTGTAGCAGATTTGACATAGCTATTTAACAAAGATACACTCCACACTAAAAATACTGAAGGTGCACACTGTTTATACACTGTACATTCACACCACAGCAATATGAAAATCCAGTTGTTTAATGTTCTTAAAGCATTTCAAATCCTTACCTTTGAAGAGCCATTAGAGTACATCTGTATCATATTTTCTGCTCCCTGTTTTACCTTCAGTTCTATATCCAATTGCTTCTTTAAGGCCATCAGTCTGTTGTTAGTAGAAAAACGAGGATCGCTATTTGGAGTATCAGGAGTCCTAGGACAATCTGAGAATTAAAGGTAAGATGTAATGCGTGCAGAAAAAAAATAAAAGAAGAAAAAAAACCCCAAACCCACAAACCCCAAACCCCTCTCCCCAAATGATGACCCTAAACTCTGTTCTATTACATTACAGATTAAACTAAGCTTGAACATTATACCTAAGGCTGACTCTCCTGTCCAGAGCTACTTTGCAAGAGCACTGCAAATGCGCCTTAACGTGAAAAGCCTCACGAAAGCCCAGTGACTCCTACACACGTCCTAATTCACATGAATCACTTCCGGGAGCAGGTAAAATAGGCAGGTTTGCTGCTAGATCTGTTTTTGTTTCAAAGAAGATTTATTTCTTCTGGAATGTCTTGAGTCAATTCAAAATGCAGTTTTCCATTAAGCTTTCTTACACTGCTGATTTTAAATCAAAGTGTTTTAAAAACAAATGAACTTGGACAATACTAATGAGCATGGGCTAAATATAGATATTAAGCAAATCCGCATCAGTTCTAGTACGAACGCTGCAGGCACGTTTTATGTCAAAGTGAAGCCTTTTCCTTTGCTGTAAAGCTGAGCAACTTTTGCTCTGGAATCAACAGAATCCTGGGATAATGTGATATTCAGGCAGACAGGTTATTGAACAACTCTGATCTGTGGGAAGGATAAGGCCTTTTAGTTTGACAATATGACTCTGTTTAGATAACCATCTTGCTAGATTAATTTAATGGAATGCAAGTTAGTTTTATCAATCAAATTATACCGTCAAAATCCTTAACTTTCCTATCTTCCTCCAGAAAAGTCTATTAATCACTGGTCCAGCTTCTGCAACATGAACTGTTAGCAAACTGAAATTAAGTAACCATGGGACTATTTCCTAGTCCTTAACTATTTCCAGCAGGACTGTCCTTTTAGGTAATTATCTTCCCCAACAGTCCCAGTGGCTTCTCTTGCAAACTTTCTGTAAAACAGGATAAATGATGTCCACTGTAATGAGGTTTTTTTGATGTTGATTTCTTCTGCCCTAACAACTGAGAGAATATCTTCTCTATGGTGAAATGACATTAGTGAGTCACCTGGAAGATATATTTACCCGATACCATATTTTTTGCCAATTTTAATTGATTTTCCTTTAACTAAAACTAGGATGATGGCTCAAGTTTCTGAAATCCTCAATTATTAAAAAACACAGGCATTGCACTATTAACTTAGAAATTATTAATTATGAGGTGTCATGAGGAGGAGATGTCTTATCTGCCATTTCATATTTCTTCTGCAGAAGCTTCTGATAACTAGTCTGGGAGATTTAATGCATTTTACTTTCAAGTTTGCTGTGTAATTTCCTCCTAAATAGCAATCTTTGCTGAGGCTACATACAGATTTCCTGTCAGGAGAAGTCTTAAGTTCCTCTGCTGCTAATTCACTCTTCACTTCAAGCCACTTGAAGACTCTTATGGCATCTTCACTACTTAAAGGTAGTACAGAAAAGAGATTTGTTTTTTTTAAAATAAATAACAAAATCTGTATTATTCCTCATCTGTTTTGTCGCTCACCATCTCCTCAATGGTTTGGCTTGGTTTCTCTTTGAAACTGTACTTGAATAGCTTTACCTTAAATCTGTTATTAATAAAACAACAACATGCTTTCCTCTCACTTATGTCTCCACATTCAACTAATTCTCACCTCATAATCTATACAAAATTAGAGCAAACGTGAAACCTGAAAGCCACGCATCGAGTCTCCTTGTAAAGTAGATTAATCATATAAATGAGTGTTTACCAACTTTATGTTTCTGATGCAGGCCTCTACCACTTAAAAATCCCAGCCCTCTGATGATCCCTGGCAAGACCGTGGGGCTCCTCAAGTCTGTTTTCACAGGTTTTAAAGATGTACACAAGCAGTCTTCCTTTTCATTAAAACAACAGTCACGTTGCAAGTCAAGGACTAATTAGAGATACTACGGTTCAAGTTGCCCAGGCAGCTGTTATTATCTCCCTTTGTGTGTCTGCACTGTTGAAGGTGTAACCACATCACTTACCTAGGTCAACTCACGAGGTGGGTTGCACTTGTGGACTTAAACTACCCTCTAACATACAGTTTAAATAGTTCTGCTATACGCTTTGTTAAAAAACAGCAGCAAAGGAAACTTTTCTGCAGAATAGACTAACTGCCAGGAAGAAGAAAGCTTTTGCCTTCAAGCATAATAGCTGCTCACTAAACTCCCAAACATGGAACAATACGGTTTCTTAACAAAGATTATATTTTTTTTAAAGAATAAAATGTTTACCAATATCCTTTCAGAAATTACTTCTCCCCACCGAGCGCATTACAATTCAGTAAGCAGCCTGAGGTAGCTTCTTATAGAAGAATTCAGATTAAAGTTTTAAAACAGCCAGAGAAACTAGTCCCATAATGGAAAGCACTGACAATCTTAGCAGCAGCCCTTCAAGCGACATCTGTATTAGCTGTTTCCGTCTCTCTTCTTAATGTTTACTGAGGCTGTAATCACTTCAGTATGGCTAGTTTTCTCTCACCTATTTGTGATGATGCTTTGGAGAATTTTAGTCATCTTCATACTACAAATAACTAATAAATTCATCCAGATAATTGCAACCAATGGGATTTGTGTATATAGTTAAACCTAAACAAGAATTAAATACTCCTACTAAGTTGACATCTCACTCAGGTAGGTAAGTAGTAAGATTGGGGAAAATAAGAGATATTATCCAGTTTGCCAGATCTGTTAATCAGTAAGGGCAGTACAAGACTTGCCATTTTGGATGCACTCAAGTCCAAATTTGCATCGGACAGCAAGAGCTTTGCTGGGTTATGGAGCAGTGCCCCAAGGCATTTTCCTCTTGACAATGAATATCAAGTGAAGTAACATGTATTTCAAGTGAACTTGACTTCATTTCAAGTAACTAGCATGTTATTTTTGCTGAACAACTATGAATGTTGTTGTGTAACATTTATGAGTTTTGTGCAGCTTTTTAGCACACATCCAGGCTACTGGAAGAGCTGCAGTACTGCTTTCGCAACACCTACAATATCCTGCTTTCATGAAAGTGGAAGACTTACGTTAATAATGATGGTTTAACTGATTTTTTTTTTTTTTTACATGTCTGGACTGCATCAGGACGATGACAGTTTTCAGTCCAAAACGTTTAGCTTAACCATGAAGTTTGCTCTTTTCAAAACCTTTTCAGTTTGAGTCTTTGCAAAGTGCTCACTGGCAAAAAAAACCCCTTCTTGCTTCTAAATTGCCTTTTACCAGCATTTCTGTCTAAATTCTATGTATCAAGGGTACTGACATAATTTCACTCTTCTGACACTGCTGCTCATTCCTTTGAGGACTCTTCCCCAGATGCCAGGTATGCTATCTCTTCAATAAGTTCGGTGTGAAATCTAGGATTCCACGTAACTCTCTGAATTTGAGTTCCCAGATGGTACTGCAGCAGGCTGCTAAGCTACTCAATTAGCATCAAGTGCCCTTTGGTAAATAGTTAATTTTAATCTTATTTGAGGATATTTAATTGCAGTTAGCCTCATCAGTGTCACGCCCAACAGAAATACCTGTGATGCATGTTTAAGCACTGCTGGAGCGGGGAAGAAAGAGGCATCATCAGGTTTTTCTTAGGGAGTCACATGGTTGCATCAGCACTTCAGCTAAGCCATCGGTAAGTCCAAGGCAGCAGTGGACATTCTGCATTCAAAGAACATCCAGCACTGGCCTCTTGGAAACTTAGGAAGTTCAATCAAATTTCAATCCAGTAATGACTAATTTTAATTACGAAACAACTGACAGGAGATTGTTTCAAATTGCTTAAATAATCTTATTCTGCCCTAAAGTTCCCCAAAGTTCCCATGAAATACCTATCAATATGAGCCTTGCAGTGGAGTCTGCTGTCTAAAAAGCCACTACCTCTACCAATTTAGTGGCTACCAGTTTCCAATAACTCGTCTTATACAGACACTTTGTGTCTGACGTTAACGTAGCGATTCATTTGGACAAAGAAACCCCAAAACATCCTTTCTCACTCTTCTGTCAGCTAGTCATATTTTAAAATAAAATTATATTCTTTGGGACCTCTGCAACCAAATTTGATGTAAAGTGAATAGCTTTAAGAGAATCGAAAAAGAAGCATGAACTTGCCTTTTAGATTTCATGTTGTCCATGTTTTTATCTTGTCTCCTCAATTCCCTCAAAGGTTTTTCTATCATCTCTCCTCCCTATCCACCCTTACTTCAACTCTATGGAAGAGATTAATTTCCCAATTTATAAATATCCTACATATCAACTATGTGCCTAATTAAATCAGTGATTTGCTGTAGGTAAGCTATTTCATCTTATACCTCACTGAATCATATTAAAAACCACAACCTCTACTGCTACTTTTTAGACACATGAAAAAATCCATCAATTTAATCTGTGCTATAGTGTAGAATTATGTTTTCAAGATACAAAATTTCTTCATCTCTAAGAAGCAATGACCCCAATTTACACATTAAAATAAATCTGATTTTCAGCAGTAATGGTCACCAGGCTCGTCCTACTCGTTTGTATTACTGCATTCTGCTTCGCTTTTAAGTACTAACTCACAAATTTTAAAGCCTCATGTCCCAATATGACTAATACACTGCATGATAAGGGCAAGCCTAGCTACAAAGTCCTGCTTCCGAAACAAATCTAGATTCACCGGCAACCCCATAATGGAAAGTAAACCCAGGTAATGTTGAAAATTGTTTCTGAATCATATATCTGCTGCCAAATCTACCTTCACATTCAGTAATACAGCTTTTTCAAAAACTGCATTATTTGATTAAGGTTTACTACCAATTCTTCAAATAGTTCTGAAAAACTCCTATGGCATTAGGACAGGGAAAGCTTTCAGCTCTAGGCACACTACCATCAAAAATCTTAACTTTCTTGAAATGGATTGTTATTAAAACACATTTTTTCTACAGTAGGTTCATTAACATGACATTTTATGGGTTTAATTTGTATTAATTATACTGTGCTGATAACAAAGAACTTACAATACTGATCAGTGGTTCATTAAAAAAAAGTAATTTAAGTTACTGCTTGAGACCATACGCAAGAGTCAAAATAGCTTGCACAGCACTGTTCAGTTTTAAGTCTGGAGCACTTTAAAAATATATGTTCACACCCGCTTTTTAGATACAGGAACAAGGAAAGATTAAATGACTTTTCCAGGCTACCACAATGACCTTTCAACCAGTCATCAGGAACAGTCCAAAAGTCTTCAGAGTTCAGGCCTGACAGGTCAAAGGGATCATCATCTTGTAGGCAATGATCCTCCCAGTGTTACTTCTCAATAGGTCTCAGTCCTGCCTTTGCAACTTAGAACCTGCAAAAACCTACACCATATACCCTAGAAAATAGAAAAAACCCAAACCATAGGGCCACCCCTGACAAATACTAAAGGATAAAGAGAGAAAACAGACTTTGACTCCCACAGCTCTTGAATTCCTTTTTTACCTTATTTTCAGCATTCATGCTCTGTACAGTCTAAAAAATTCCTATATATGTGCTTCTCTCTTTTAATCATTTGTCACTAACTGATTAGAAGATGATCAAACACGAGCTAAAGTGAAAAGCTGTAACTCAAACCAAAGCTAACCTCTGGAAACAACGCACTTAGTTGTGGGACTCCCATATCCATGATAAATGGTCATTAAATTTACTGTCGACCCCTGGCAAAAGCAAGGATTGCCAAACTAAGATACTTGTGACCTGCCCACAAGGTATCTTCTTCCAGGTGGCAGTAATCTTTAGGGCTATGTGTCTATGCATTTGCTGAATATTATCCATATATATATACACATATATATATACACACACACACAAACAAGCATTGACACAGTTGGAATGTTGTAAGTTTTATATCATCAAACTTATTTTGTAAAGGCCGGGCTCATCAATGTCTTAAGTCAAATCTAAGACTCCAGTATTAAAAATCAGAGTATCACCTAGTTGAACCTATTAGCCTCAGACAGACAGAATGTTTACTGATAGTGCGTCCCCTCCATGAATTAGTGACCAGGGATGAAGAAGGGGATAGGCAATTAAATTAAAAGTCAATCAGTATAAAAAAAATGAAGCATTTTGATTTTGGAAGGTTATAGATCTCTAAAGACTACTTTTCTGTTCTCAGATGGTTATGTAAAATACTCTATTAAAATTGGTCTTACAGAGGAATACCTGATGTGACACTACAGAGAATATAAAGACCTCAGAATTAGTAAATTTTTTCTTGCATATTTCCATAATTAAGACCGTAAAAGCTACCTACCAATAACACTTTGAACAGAATGAAAGTTAAAAACACAGTACTAAAAAGTTTAGCACATATCAAGAGCAGGCAGAAAAGTAAGTAGAAGCACATAAGTTTATCAACCTCGATCTTTTACCCCTTGAGCCTTTCATGAAATCCCCGGTATTGCAACTCAAGGTGAGAGGAGCCTGGCTTAGTGCTAACAGTTATTCACAAATGCAACGGGCACTGCTGGTCTTTTCGGAAGTGCACTAAGGATCTGAACAACATTATTTAGATCTTTGTAATCAAATAATCTCTTTAGAACTAGTAAATGCTTTCTTAGGGTCCATGGCATTTTCTGACTCATGCACAAGGACAATATTGCTCATTAACTCACTGTGATGGAGCAGGCATTCCAACAAGAGCATTTTGTGCTCATGCACTTTTCAAGTTTTGCTACTAGATGAACTTCACAAATTAATGCCTGCACAGATTTTTATATTTGGTCTACACACAGTTCATATACAATTTTCCTTCTATTCCACTCTTCCTGTTCCTTTAAAAACCACACTACTGTCAACACTGGAGCGGATTTTCATAAACTTTAGCTGATATGGAACAGAATGGTTTGTGCCTGCTAAAATTTAACCCAATGGCTATCTATGAATCATACATGGTTGTATTCACTCCCATTCCATGCTGCAGCAACTACTTTGCCCTGCCAGTTCCAGCTGCCCCACCCCCTCCACTCCTTGTATCTCACAAAGATCAAAAGCAAAATCCACAGAGAATATAGAGAATACTGTGCAGCCCCCCCCGGACTGTTGCAGCATTGCCAGGGCCAGATAGTATGAATTGCTGACAACACCTGCCAGTATTTTCTTAAACTCTGACTTCAACCAAGCTTTCCTCACAAAGATGATGTGGTTTTTTTATTCTACTGCTCAATCTTTTCAAGACTTGGCATTCGCTTCGCAAACACCTTTGATGGCTTGTGCACATTTATCAACTTTTTGTCAAGAAGTGTCTGTGCAATGTGAAATCATCAGGCTGGCAATATCTCCCAAGTCATTCCACAAAGCTGAACACAGACTGTTTACTTTCACAACATTCCATATTAAAATACCAGGCCTGGTATTTTTAAAAAATTACATTCAAAATTAGTATTGACTCACTGCCATGCCACAGAAAATACTAATTAAAACCATTAATTATAATCATTCTGTGAAAATAATTTCAAATTGTCTTTAAAATAGTAGCTTCATTGTGGGAAAGCCTCAAGACTTTAACAAACTATTGCTACCCGAAGAAATGTCTGGTAAGTTAGTTAGATAAACAGTGTAAGAGAGAAAGTTTCTAAAATTTAGATTTAAGTTTTAAAAAAACCAAACCCACAAAACTTCTAAGTTTAAATGTTGTAGATTTTTCCCCCCTAGAATAAAAGTGCCTACAACGTAACTTGGATAAAATGTGTGCAAAATCTACTGAATTTTGCTTTAATATTAGGAAATATTACAGCATTTGAGAATATATTTTAATATAGAAATAGCTGAAAGTGAAGAACTCATACACACTGTTAGCTTTTAGAGCATCATCAAATAGTCTGTGAAAGACAGTGCTTCCCAGAAAACAATTTAAAACCCAAAGGGACTGGACACTTACTTGTGAATCAAAACAAATACGGAAGCAACACACTCACCAACTACAGATTCGTTCATTCCTCAAGCAATTTTTTCAGTTGAAATGGGATACAGCTTATCTAAACTAATAGAAAAAAAAAAATTTCACAAAAACATATAGTACCTGCAACATCTTCTGGATCCGTTACAACAATGTGTGCATTTAACTCCTGTAACTTATGATGCAAGTCTTCTAACTTCTTATTTGATTTTTTCAACATGTTGTCCACATATGCCAAGTTCTTTTTATCTGTTGTGACCTTCCTGAGGTTCTCTGCTCCCTCCTTGATTTTAAGTTCCTTCCTTATTTCCCGCTTGATTTGATCCTTTATTTCATCCAGCTTCTGCTGTACCATCGTATCTGAAAAGTCCAACTTTTGGCCAGTGCTCACATTCTCAGAGGCTACAAGACTCTTGGCATCCCCCTAGAAAGAAAAACAGTAATGTAACTTCCAGGAAACACTGTCTCTTGACAACGCATGCTGCACACTCAAAACAACTCGGCTTTAGGCCTCCATATATTAGGTACTCACTTTGTAAGACCATTTACTAACCATCTCACAAGTAATGGGAGTGTTTTACAACGGATTTTAAATTTAGTGACATCTTTACTATGCCTATTTTTAACACCAAGAGATTTAAACACTTTTGGATTTGTCATGGCTGCTTGCCTGGCAGTTACACACCTCAGAGCTAATGAGTCACATCTGTAATTTTCTAGATTTAATTGTGTGTTATAATAGACCAAAAAGAAATAGTAATTGTTAGGAGTTAGCCTTATTTCCTATCTCTGATGATTTTTTGAACATCCATTAGAACAGATTCCTTTTAAAGATTGTAAGAAAAGTTAAAAAAACCCCTAGTGACGTTTGCAAATGTTTGAAGAAATACTGGCATCTTTCTAAAGATTTGTTAAGATGTTACTGGAAAATAAATTTGCTAGATTTTTTCTTTTTAAATCCCTTAAGTAAAGCCTTTCACTTTAAATAATAATAATAAAATCTTACTTTCTAGGGCAGGCAAATTAGACTGAAAAAAAAAGAATAGTTGCCATGATAAATAGGAGTAGGTGTAGTAAGGGAGTAGGGGATAAAAGGTCTTCAGACCACCAGCACACAAGGTCATGCTTGTGCCTAGTACATGTTTACATCTCATTAAGAAGTAAGAGCACAAAAGGGCACGTTACATTAATAAAGTATAAACACAATTAATTACATGCATAATAACACTTGCTCTCTGTCTTATATGTGGACCCTGTACAATGAATAGACACTAAGTCCTACCCAAGAAATCTTAGAGCTAAGTGAAGATCAAAGATGGGCTCTCCTGAACACAGAATCTGATCCAGCTGTAATTCAGGATATACTTAGTAAATGTGTGACCTGATTGGTAAGTAACTACCCAAATGACAAATTTGGGTATATTTTCTTAAAAACAATGAAGAAATTGGCTGGACTTCTAAATCATCTGGGTGGACAGTAAGGTATTTGAAGGGACAATTAAAATTTTGTGTGTAAAACTAGTTGTCATCACTATTTGCTGTTGGAAACACTAATACAGCAGACAAAACTGTTTTTTCTAAAAAACATTCAGGAAGGAGTTCAAGAAGCACAGCATTGGGCTAACAAACTGTAAGAACGTTCCAAAACACATGATCTCTAGATATAGTCCACAGGGACTTGTTTATTTTTTAAAGAATTTGGGGAAATAAGGATCACGAAGATTGTGCCTGTCCCATACATGTCAGCAGATTGTGCTGGTCCAACCATTTCAATCTATGCCCATTCTGGTGATACTGTCTTCCATAAGCAAGATCCAATCTTCTAGCCCTCAACTATAATTTTGTAAGTTTACTAAATAATCTTTAAACTCCTCTTATTAAAGCCTTTGTAACCCTAGCTGCTATTTTTAGTACAAAAGGTTAGCAACCCATATTCTTAAATATTACAAGTAGTCAAAATCACCATCTTGCCACAGAATTTGTCTATCAGGGAAAAAGACAATAAACAAGCAATCCTGATACGATACACTAAGAATCGGAAGGGAAAAGTCAGGCAAATTTTTTACTTCAAGTGCACTTGTGACTCCTGTAAGTACGTTTCTGTTAGTGCAAATTAAAATAATTTATTATGCATAACTAAAGAGATTATTGATAATTGTACTGGGAAATACATAACATAGTTTCCATATACAGGAGTAGAAAAAGAACCAATTTTTTTTTAAAAAAATAAACCAATAATCAATAGTGATGAGCCACTAGTACAAAGGTTCACATCCATAATGAAGGAAACCAACCAGCAAGTGTTGTCTTTTGAAAACCAACTGAGACTGAAAATAAAGTCATATAGCAACTGTACAGTGAACTATTTAAGTAATATGTACATTAGATTCAGATCTTTGATTTCCCTGCTTGTCTAACACATAAAAAGTTAGGATGTAAAAAAAAAAAAAAAGAGCTTCAAGATTAATATACTACTATTTAGCCTTTAAAAACAGAGATTAAAAAAGCATTTGTAAATAAAACAAGCATTTCTTTATAAACCATCCTTTTCACCTTTCTGCAGGCTTCCTAGAACTAAACTCATCATCCACCTCCTTCGAAACACAATATGATAACTCTTCAAAGTTCACAGGACAAAGACAAGTGGTAAATGTAAAAACAAAAAAGCCAGGAAAAAAAACAACAAAAAAAAATCAAAACACACAAGGCCCAAACCAAAAGAAAGCCTTTATTCCATATTCCAATAGCACCTGAAGTATGATAAAATTGTGCCAAGAACATACACTCCTCAAAGAGAACAATGTAATTAAAATATAAATAATTCAGAAATATTCTTGACTATGGTTTCCCAAGGGACTTCAGTTAATTGTTTATCTATTGAACAATCACGTATTTTGTTACGGGGGACGTTTTTATCCCTCTGCAAGCCCTACATCCCACCTGTTAAAGGGATGTTATGTTCTTCCATAAACAGGTTTTTGGAGCCCTTGTTCCAGATACAGTCTCTAACAAGTCTTCAATTAAATTAAATCTCCATGATCAGTAGTAGTTCGCATTCCAAATTTCCAGTAATTAAGTTAAAGTTCTCCTCAGCTTGAACAGCAGCATCTTCGTTCCCAGACTTAAGGGTTTCAGGATACAGAGTCTTCCTCAATCTGCTTTTGAGGTAGCTAAGAGTTCAATAGTGCAGATGCTGACACTAAGACCTGGTTACTTTGCCTATGCCTTTAAGCATCCATCTTTAAGTCCCACAGATGATACTCCTTCTATCTCTCTCATCATCCAGAGTTAATTATACTTCTGAACTAAAAGTATCCTGTCACCTAGTTCCCTAGATGTGTCACCTGGCACAAAGGTCACTGTGAAATAAACAGTCTTCCAAGTAGGCAGCCAGGCACCCGGTGACCCTGGAGGTCAACCTGAATGCAGAGCAAGAGCCTGTTCTGCAAGACAAATGGCTCTGCTGCGCTGACACGTTTTGCTGCTGGGATGCACCGAAGGCTTGTGACAGATCCTCATGCCAGAGAAATGAGCAGCCTCGGCAATGTTCCACTTGAAAACGGAGATAATGCCAAGATGGACACAACTGGACAGAATGCCTAATAGTTGAGTAAGAGAAGCGAGGTAAGATTGTTTCTTTAAGAAAAGCACCTCCCAAACCACCAAACTCAAACTTTACTGTTAAACTGAGAAGTGACTAAAACCACAGGATATTCCAGCACTTGTGAAAACCTAATACAACTCTCTTGTTAGAGCTGAATATTGTTTCCAAAAAATTGTCTCCCCCACTTGGATAAACTCACTCACATCCATTAGGACATAAGTATTCTGTCTCTTCAACCTGAGAATTAAGCGGTTGGAGGTGAGGGCCAGGTGTTTGCACTCTGCCTGCTTGAGTAATGCGAAGGAAAAGACAGAAGAAATCATTTAAGTTCTCTGTGCCAAGAAACCATCAACGGATTCTGCACAGCCCCTTCCTTTACTCTCCATCCCAGAATTATTTCACATAAAATATCTTAAAAGTGGAAATGCTCTGAAGCATTTAATGACTAAACCACTCCTGCTGGCAAAACAGAGAACAAGCCTTCCTCCTTCAAAATCTACAACAAAAGAATGGGCAGCCAGTTACCGATTCTCCAGTCCTTTGTAAATTCTGGTAGCGCTTTGACTGCTCGTTAAAAGAGAGGAGCCAGTCTTTGTTGGGAGCTCCCAGGACTGGACCACTCGGCACAGCACCCTTCTCCCCCTGTGCCACAGCAGACCGTGGGTGACCTAGTTCTTTGCCCCAGCAGCAGCGAAGGGCACTGGTGCTGCTCCTAGGAACCTGCTTCTGGGCTCTCTGGAAAGCAATCAGAGGCAGTGGTGCACAGTTCTGCACAATGCGAAAATACAGGTTTATGAGCCAGACAGGAGATTTCTGAAACGTTTCAGCATGTAATGAAACTGAAGCTACATTTACTACAACAAACTCTCACAGACCACAAATTAGATACAACAGTCAAAAGAAAAAAAAAATGAAAGAGAAAGAGAAAAGGAAATCCACATATATAGCTTTCCTACTGCAATGGCTACTGACTCAACCTCACTCTGCCTGCTGCCTCAAAGACTATCTGTTTACACAGATGAATTCAAGATGCCAGCCTTCAATTTCTCTATTCCTGGGAAATGTTTTAAGTATAGCTGCTGAAAATAATGGGTAGTGGTCTGAGCCTGTCTTTTAATAATACACAGAGTCCATTCTGGCTGACGTGGTGAAAGAGAAATGCTATTTATGAAAACCCACGGGGCACCGTGCTTTTTCCTCAGGTCAATTCTGAACCAAAGAATCAGTGAAGCAGGTGCCTTGCCAAATTGCATTTACCATCCAAACTCCATTTAAGAATGAAACACCTAAACTGCTGAATGATAGAAATGGTACTGCTTAATAGAAGAGAGTACCATAAAGCCGAACCTATCGGAGAATCTGCTTAAGTTGTGTGAACCACATGACTTCAAATGCAAAATGATACTCTCAAATTGCCACCTCTTAGAAGAAAAAGATAATGCTAAAATCCTGGTTATTACTAACTCCTACTGTGCTCCTAAGAGCACAATACAATCACACTGCCTTATACCTTCTATTTACCTCAGAGAATACTGAATAGGTCAAGAATTTAGATTACTTACTTCTGGTAGGAATTGTTACAGAGATGTAAGTCCTCACGCACAATATGACTTACACTTCAGTAAAGTATATAAAAATGCTTGGCTATTTAATATAAGCATACTCATTTCAAATATAAAAATAGGATTTTATTTTATGAATAATTAAAAAATTACCATAATCCAGAAAGACTAAAAATTAATTTTCACTTCACTTTCAAGAACTAGAATTTGGAACTATTAGGTCTCTTAGTATAATTTTCTGAATAATCTTTT